AACCTGCTAAATAAAATTGGTCGCCTGACCGCTGGGCAAAATAAATGCCCGAGCCTCTGATGCTCACTGTTTGTTGTTCAGTCTTTTGCTCCGAAATGAACCTGAGCCACAGGAACGCCTTGATCCCATGCCTCGAGAATGAATGCTATGCAATGCGAAAAATGCAAAATGCAAAGAAACAAAAGCCAGTTATGGTTAAAACGAAAGGCAAATTTTGGGGTGCTACAATACCTTGCAAACACTCGCAGTAAATTTTCTTTTCCTTTTTAGATAGAGTGTGACATGTTGGAGGCAGATAAGTTCTTTTTCCTTTCTCTATTGGAGCCAATACTTTTCGTATACCCATCTTCTCCATATCAAGATGGGAAGTCTTACTATCTTTAGTCTTTCCTGGAATATTTAGAAGTGTGTCAATCAAACTATCACACACATTTTTCTCCGCGTGCATCACATCAAGACAATGTCTAACATTAAGACTTGACCAATATGAAAGATCAAAGAAAATGAACCTCTTTTTCCATATATTTTTTGCAACTGCCCCTTTTTCTTTTTCTCTCTTCCCAAAGACAAGATTAATTTGTTCCTTCCGTAGATAAACTGCATCCCCGATTAAAGGTCCAGTAGCCTCATCAAACTTTTGCTCTCCATTAAAAGCCTTCCGCAATCTGTGATAAGGATGACCGGGTTTTAGAAATTTTTGTGCAAAATAACATTGCACGCATCTTAAACTTTTCCCCAGAATATGCATCACCAACTTCAACGCCTTCACCCCACAAGATTCGTAAATCATCAATTAATGGACTTAGACAAACATCTATGTCTTTACCAGGTTGTCGTGGTCCAGAAATCATCATACTTAACAGTATATACTTGCGATTCATGCACAACCAAGAAGATAGGTTGTAAATAGTGAGAAGAACAGGCCACGAAGTATGATTAGTGCTCAGATTACCAAAGGGGTTCATTCCATCGGTGGCAAGCCCAAGCCTAATGTTTCTTGGCTCAACTCCAAAATTTGGAAACAACGAATCAATTTCTTCAATTGCAATAAATCAGCTACATGGCGAATGTTTCAATCATGAGTCCTTTCATCTGCATGCCAAAAAGTCTCTTAAATCGTGAAATTATTGGCAAGTACCATAACACTTTAGTAGGAGATTCTTCCTCTAAACATTTTCATAGTCATTATCATCACCATTATTGCCCTTCAGTTTGTAACGTAACCTACCACATTTCGGACATTAATACAAGTCTTCATACTCTTTCTGGTATAATATGCAATCATTAGGGAAAACATGTATTTTTATATACTTCAGTCCCATTGGACACAATATCTTCTTGTCCTCATAGCAACGATCCAACAATTTGTTATCTTCTAGTAACCTTTGCTTTAGAAATTCAAGTAATTTCGTGAAACTTTTATCAGACCATCCATTTTTTGCCTTCAGATTAAAGAACTTTAACACCGTGAACAATCGTGTAAAATCTATGCATCTCTTATATAAAGGGGTGTCTTTATCACTACATAAAGTATCATAAATATGAGCATTCTTAAAATAAGATTCCCCAATATCGCGGAACATATCCTCTAGTTGATCTTCCATATTATCATATTCATCGACTCTTTGACTTTGTGACGCCCGACTTTCCTCTTTATCCACCTTACCATGTCACATCCATATTATATAATTTTGACATATACCATCACAACAAAGGTGATGGAATATTTCTTTCTTTGTACCATTTTTTTATATTCGCGCAAACAATAGAAGAACAATAATAGATACCATTATTGTCGAGAATATGTTTATCACCGCATTCAAGGAACTCAAGAACTCTGTTATCATAAATCGGACCTAATTTATCGGCTTTCATCCAACTACGATCCATAACAACTTCTGAAATTTATACACGTACAATAATGTGAATGACACACCAAAATCTAATCCAAAAACTTAAGCATATGCATATGCAAATGTAAACCTAAAGCATATGAAACATGTACTCTCATACTGGCTTGAGCATATACAACATAAACAAAACAAAAAAGAATGAAGATGTTGAAGAATACCGTACTTCGAAGCTGAAGAATCTTATGCACGTAAGGAATAAAGATGTTAAAGAGTAATGTACTTCGAAGCTGAAGAATCAAATGAATGAAGAGGGTGAATATTTGAGCATATACAATATAAACTAAGAAAAAAGGAATGAAGATGTTGAAGAATACCGTACTTCGAAGCTGAAGAATCAAATGAAAAAAGAGGGTGAAGATTTGAGCTCTAAATGAATGAATATGAAGAGGGTAAAGATTACGCCACTGTTGTCGTCTCTGGCTCGCTTGTTCTCCTAGGGTGTCTTATGAAAGACATACATAATAAGTTTTGTTTTAATTTATCAGTAAACCCTTTAATCGCAGTTGGACAACCCCCAACGGTAGTGGAATTGTAAGTCCTCTAACAACGGTTGGTTTACTTCACCATTTTAAAATCATTTACAATTTATTTTTTAAATAATGGACTTAAATGACACACGCTTAATATACTCTAAAAAATGGAAAAACATGTAGTTGTTGGAAATCGAAGCTTGCTACAAATCATTTATTACTACGGTGTTTTAAGACAACCGTCATTAAATTACTGTTTATAAATCCAGCTACTCACTGGGCGCGAAAATTTTAACCTATTACAACGGTGTATATAAATCCGTTGTAAACCTGACGTTGTTGTTTACGTGTTTTGTAGTTGCGCCACATGCTTTCTCCTTCGTCTCACTTAGAAGGAATCAGGCGATCAATTCATTCCACGTGTTTCTTAATCACATTAGAGTAGATGATATATGGTAGACATTGTACGCCGGTCACAGTCAAACACATCCCTTGGATGACATACCCTTATACTTCAAATGGTTGACTTATGGGTCACGCCTGATGTATCAACATCTTTCTGAGTGAGTCATGCGTCAGTTTTGGTTTCTACAGGGTATTATAAGATACCCCACAATGTTTGCTCCTTTCAATGTCGTCCGCATAAATGTTGATGTGATATTTGATGATTTTTGTAATCATTTAACACTACGGAATGCACGAAGTTGCCAGCTTCTCAACCATGGAATGTTGTATAGGACTACATCCAATGATTTTAAGAGTGTCATATTTTTACATGACACTAGATGATGAGGGGGATTTGCCTAAGACAGCTCATCAAAAGATATTTGAAGAGGAACAGGCTAGGAAGGACCATGTCGTTGATGTCTTGCCCATCTGCCAGTGTATTGTGACCATTAGGAGAGAAAGCATAGAGAAATGAGAGTTTGAGGAAGGAAATCTTGGGATGGTCACCATATAGATCATGATAGCCGAGGCACGGAGTGCCTTGCGATACAGGTGGCAAAGAAAGAATCGAGGGGGGTGTCAAATATACCCAGTAGTTAACTTTACTTATATTTTGATAATATTTGTATTATGGTTTGTAATTTGTCAACAATGATGTTTGACTATGGATTTTAATTGAATTAATATATGACATTTTGATTTTGATTGGATTACATTAATGTATAGTTTAATTGAATAACAATTATGTATACTTAGTATAAATGTCCTAAAATATAAAATTTCTTTAAAAATGTCAAATTTATAACCAACATGCTGCCTATAATGAAAACTAACTGTCTCGAGAGTTTGTGCGAAAGTATATTTTCAAATTATCCACCGAGTTATGAAATAAACACACTACCATGATTTAAAAATGTGTCCAATGGTTATTAAAAAAGTGCACATACGGAATCACTCTTCCATCAATACGAAGATACACTTTCAAACTAATTTTTAATAAAATCGATTGGATAACTCACTTACAAGATGTATGCGAAAATATACTTTTTTAAAATTGAGAGAGGGAATTTTGGGCTTCACCACACATGGTGTGAAGAGCAAACCCATGTATCCCTTTAATAGTTCATTTGAGTTAAGGCCCGGTAACAAAGTCCACACGAACAGTTACAGATCCACATCCAAACCGAAAATGTCTCGTTACAAAAAATAAACACAAAAACGTTGCTAATCAACTGAAAAACTGAAAAAGAAAGAAACGGTTAGAGAGTGTTGGTCTCTGTAATGCCGAGTCGGATCTCCGTCTCCGTCAATAGCTTGTGTCTTCATCTTCACGTCTGGCAGCGAGTAATAGAACCATCCGAATCAGGTTTTCCATCGCAGCGTCTCCGGCAGCGCAACCATCTCCGTTCACTGCATCTGGTTTGTCTTATTTTCAGTTGATTTTTGTGTAGATTTCGGTTGATAATCTGGTTTGCCTTTCCTTTGGATAGATTTTTTTTCAGACATTACTTTCGTTTTTCCTGTGTTGCAAAACATCATATTTAGGGGATCAAAATGCAAAATACATAGAGTAGTAAATTGAAATTTAACAAATTCGAGGGGGGGCGTGCATCCGCCCTAAGCTCAACATTGGTTGATGTGAAATAAAGTGAAAAATGGCAGCAACAATGAGTCTAGCATATGCGGTGACTTGAGAAAGAAGTTAGTATATTTTAATATCCCTCCCCTTCATATCCCCTCAATTCGGAGGGACGTAAAATCACTCTACATAAAGATAAAATAAAGTAAAATTGTTATTGTATAAATCATAAGTTGTTTTCAGAGAGTTTACGAATCTAAGCTGAAACAGCTTATGGACATATCATAAGCTTTTTCAGTCTCACAGATGCTTATATTGTAGATAATTTCAAATAAGTCATTCTAAACATTACCTAAGACTAGTTGAGTGCAGAAAAGTGATCCAAAGCACTTCTAATTCATCCGAGTTCTAATAATTATTGTTGATTTGAACTGTGGTGTGAACTCTAAATTGTATGTATTTTGTTATTTCTCTATATATCAAGCATTGCATAAATCAAAATTGATTTTTATCTTCTAATAGGCTTGGTGATGGAACAAGGTTTTGATCAAATAAAAGCAGAGTGATTTAGATCTTTCTATATTGTAATCTATGGGGACTAAAAACATAGATTGTACAGGCTTCCCTGCAAGACCTGTTTCCCTACCTTTTGTTTCTTCCCAGGCTATGCCATCTTTTTCATCTATAGGATTAGCTGCTGCATCAGTGCCTCCTTCTTTCCGACCTACTCCTCCTGAAACCACCGTGCCATTTTCATTGTCTGGACCTGCAGTTCAACCTGGAGCACCTTGTTTTAGACCTGCACCACCAAGGTTAAATTACCCAACCGAACCTCTTCCTTCCCCTACCCCATCATCCAATGTCCCCACAATGCCGGCTGTTGGTCCTTTCCAGCATTTTCCAGCACCGTCCTATTCCTCGACGGCTCAACCTCCTGCAAATCAAGCACCTCCTTTACTCTCATCTCTTCCACCTCAGCCGCAAATTCCTAATGTTCCAATGGAATCTCCACCTATTGGTTCAAATGTTCCCCCTCCTCAATATAACCCATCTTTTCCTGGATACGCCCGTATTCAGCCTGGTGCTGAAATGCATGCTCCACCTATGCATTCCTCTATTCCTGCTAATCAAGGAAATTATGGAACTGCAGCATCTTCTCCTTTTTTACCTCATCAAGGAGGCTACACTCCATCACTTCCAATGGCTAATCCACTAGGTATCCAGCCTACGCAGCAGCCAGGATCAATACCCCTTACTGGTCCTATTCAAGGCTTAACAGAAGACTTCAGGTCAATCACAATGCAAACTCGCCCTGGAACAATGGATCCATTATTTAATGCTAAAGAACTTCCTAGGCCGTTGGATGGTGATGTGGAGCCGACAAATTTGACTGAGATGTATCCCATGAACTGCAATCCCAGATATCTACGATTCACAACCAGTGGAATTCCTAACTCCCAGTCTTTAGCTTCAAGGTGGCATCTGCCTCTTGGAGCAGTAATATGTCCGCTTGCTGAATCACCTGATGGGGTTAGTTCCTTTGTCTACTTGTTTGATGAGCAGTTACTTACTGATCACGTTATTTACCTTTCTTTGTTGTTCTTTATATTCAGGAAGAGGTGCCTGTAATTAATTTTGCTCCAGCTAATGTTGTGCGCTGTAGAAGATGCCGCACATATGTGAATCCTTATATGACATTTACAGATGTTGGAAGAAAGTTCAGGTGCAATGCATGCACCACACTTAATGATGGTACGTTTTACTCCCATTGCGGTGTCTTTTGTCTTATTAACTGAAAAGTCATCAAGGAAGAAAATGGTTGAAATCAAGTTTCAAGTTCATCAGGCCTGCACATTTGTGTTATAAGAGATGATTTTATTAGAGGCCCTTATAATTCATCAATTTCTGTATCATTGCATTCTATTGATATGCCCAAACACACTTGATAAATAAACAAATGCAAATACTCGATTTGTTTGCCCATATAACATGGATTATGGGGCAGTGTCATGGGAGTGCAACTTGCTCTCTGATTTTTCCAAGTCAGCTTATTCATTTCAGTTGTGCTGTATATTTAATACTGTCATGATATGTGGGTTATAGCTCTGCTATGATGTGAAACCAGACAGGTTACTTGCATGCATTTTCCAGAACTAGTGTTGAAACCTACTTTTTGTGTCAGATATATTATGCACACTGTAACTAGTTGAATTGTTTTTCTTAAACTGTTAAATTATTGTGCCATATTTGTAGTTCCTAGTGAATATTATGCACAATTAGATGCCACTGGCCAAAGAGTTGATTTGAATCAACGACCTGAGCTTACAAAGGGTACTGTAGAATTTGTTGCCCCTGCTGAGTATATGGTGCGGCCTCCTATGCCCCCATTATATTTCTTCCTCATCGATGTTTCCATGTCTGCAGCTAGAAGTGGCATGATTGCGGTAAGCACTTCATTTCTGGCACAGTGTATAGCTTGTACATAATACCAAGTCTTAACCATTAGAGTTTTTTGTTATTTATTTTTCATGAAAAATAAATAAATTTTACTATTGTGCAAAATATGGCCTTATTTTTATGAATTAAAGACTCAGGGCCCTTCTAGTTACATGCTTGATAAACCTTGGTTTTGGCGACCATAAACAAAAGAATTATGGTTTAATGTATTTTGTCTTAGACTAGTTCATTTGGAGAAGAAAGTGATCTGCATACTAAAAAACTTAATAACCTTTTAATATGGTTTTCTTTTTCACTAAGCTTTATACATTGTACTTTTATATGATTTTAATGATTCAAAACTTTCCCCTCTAAGTAATTTAGTGATAACTGGAATGTTTGGGTAATTTGTGCAGAATAACTTCTAGAATACGGGTTTTATTTTGAAATATTTACCAAAAGTAATTTTCCAGGAACTAGTTTTGTTTCGGTAATGCAAGGATGGAAGTGCCCCAATATTTCAAAATGTTAAAATTCCAAAATAAAAATTTGCAGAAGTAATTTACTCCTTGCAAAATAGTCCTTGGTAATTTTTTTTCTGGGCAGTTTTGGGTTATGGAATGCAATTTGTATTTGGGGTTACCGAATAAATGTTTGTCCCAACCATTTTGGAGGTTTAGCCACACTTTATCTTGATTCTGAAGTAATTTTCGGCAACCCAGGTTGTAGCCCAAACAATCAAGTCTTGCTTAGATGAGCTGCCTGGCTTATCACGAACACAAATAGGGTTTGCAACTTTCGACAGCACTATTCATTTTTACAATATGAAGGTTGGTATTACTATTAGCTTTTAGTGCACTACCACTATTAATGTGTCTGTTTCCCTTTTATTAGGCCATGCCTTGTACTAATCATTCTATGAGTTATGCCTTTGCAGTCATCCTTGACTCAGCCACAGATGTTGGTTGTCTCTGATCTGGATGACATGTTTATTCCGCTGCCAGATGATCTTCTTGTTAACTTATCTGAATCAAGAAGTGTGGTGGAGAGCTTCCTAGATAGCTTGCCAACTATGTTCCAGGACAATGTTAATCTCGAATCAGCTTTTGGTCCGGCTATTAAGGCTGCTTTAATGGTTATGGTAATTTTTTTATCATACTTACTGGATAGAATATTATGCCGAAAGTTGATCCATATAGTCGACTTCATTCAGTAGGATAAGGCTTAGGTTGTTGTTCACTTACTTTCTATTATGATTCTTTTTATCATAATTTTTTTATCATATGATATAATTTGCAATTAATTGAAACAGAGTTACTAAGTCACATGTTTAAGAGTTTATTTTGGAGTTGGAAGGAAAAGAAAGGGACGACATTTGATGATACCGGAGGAGGGAAAGAAAGGGGAACTAGGAGAATTGAGAAGGAGTTTAGAGGACCTTAAAAAATTTTCCCAAATCCTTTCCCTCATTTCATAATACTCTTAGACAAGGAAAATATTAGATAAACCTTCCCCTTCACTCCCCTCTAAGAGACTAGTTTCCAAGGTAGAGAGGTAATGTAAAGGAGATATTGAGTATTGCATGTTTTAAGAGTTAATTTCTTATTGAATTTCAAGATCTAACTGGGGTGTTGGAGCTTCACTGGGACAAAGTCCGTAAATCAATCAAATAAACCATAGTGAAGCAAGTTACTTAGGCGGAACCTATGCTATCCAAACTTAAGTGAACACTGTCTCCCTTGAATTTGTCGACTTTTGAGTATGTTTTCCAGTACATTTGACAATTTTCTTTTTCTTATGCACTATTTTGCTGTGTTCTTTCCGTGCCTCTCTATGCAGAGTAAATTTGGAGGGAAATTGTTAATTTTTCAAAATACACTACCATCTCTTGGTATTGGTCGCTTAAAATTACGCGGAGATGATTCTCATATTTATGGGACAGATAAAGAACCTGGTTTGAGACTTCCCGAAGAACCGTTTTACAAGCAAATGGCTGCTGAGTTGTCTAAATGCCAAATTTCAGCAAATGTATATGCATTCAGTGATAAGTACACTGACATAGCCTCCTTAGGTAAAAAATTTATACTATTTCTTCTAACTTTCACATGTCGTATTAGTGCAGAACCTGTTGCTCTGCATTATAATTTAGAGAGTTTCTGATTGATATATCTGATGATTGTTAAGTTGCTGTGAGTTTATGAGCTTTAACTGTGTTAAATTCTAATTTGACTCGTGTTCATTTTAAAATGCTTGAAATTGAGGGATTTTAGATAAAAAAGGAAGAGAGATAATCACTTGATGATAGTGACTTCATACAAAAGACTAAACACTAGTCCCTATTTACAGGGATACAAAGACTCGATCCTAAATTATTAGGAAAATCAAGAAATAATAATAATAATAATAATAATAATAATAATAATAATAATAATAATAATAATAATAATAATAATAATAATAATAATAATAATAATAATAATAATAATAATAATAATATAATAATAATAATAATAATAATAATAATAATTGGCTTGCCTATTGCAACCTCTAACACTTTCATTGTGTTAGCTTTGAAGGAGTGGATTTAGTTCCACATTGGTTAGAAATGTGACCTGTATTACGTTTATAAACGATGATTGCCCCCATTTAATAATAAGAGTAAGAGATAATACAAGTGACTTAAGAAATAGGAGTCATTCCTCACCCTACATGCCAATTTTGTAAGGACTAAGTTAGGCTCAATCCAAATCCTAAAATAAAAAACTTAATGTAATGTTTGCCATATTTTGCCCCTAATGATGTTATATGCGTGGAATTTCAACTGATACTGTCATTGAAGAATTTGGCGAGGCAAAAAATTGCCTGTTAATGCTCAAAGTGAACTCACAAATTATGTGATAATTCGTAGTAGTTATAACTTATATCTTTAAATAATGCATCCCTTGTCCAGATGTAATTCTGTTTGATTTTTTTTACAATAATTTTGTTTGATATTGTTTTCTCAGAATCTGTGGTCTTCTAAGCATATAGTCGTGCATGCCAATGATCGTATACTCCAAGTAAATTATGTATTTATTATTTATTGTCTGTTTAGGAACTCTGGCAAAGTACACTGCTGGTCATGTGTATTACTATCCAGCTTTCCAATCATCTATTCATGGGGAGAAATTGAGACATGAATTAAGAAGAGACCTCACTAGAGAGACTGCATGGGAAGCTGTAATGCGTGTTAGATGTGGAAAAGGTTTGTGCATTCGTTATGTCTTGGAAAGATGTACCTTCCTTGCCTCCTTTTGTTTATTTCGGTTTTATACGATGTGTATATAAAATTAAACATATATGATTGAACAGACACACTTACAAATACAATTGCTAATAAGTGTCTATGCTTCTAGGTGTTCGTTTCACAACTTATCATGGAAACTTCATGCTAAAGTCCACGGATTTGTTGGCACTTCCAGCTGTAGATTGTGATAAAGCCTTTGCCATGCAGTTAACACTTGAAGAGACATTATTGACAACTCAAACAGTTTACGTTCAAGTTGCATTGCTGTATCCTTTCTTCAATAGTTCATAAGATGAGTTATAATATTCAGGCTTTATTTTTATAGACAATGTTGAATCATATGTTTTGTGATACTACTATTCAAAAAGGAAAACACAATATCCTTCTTTGAATATCAGATAAAAGGATTTTGTACTTTTGAATCTTTCCTAGAAAGTACTTTTTCTTAATATTTCCTTTTTTCGTTTTTTTTTTTGTCAGACCATTCAGCTCATCTTTATCATGCTTTGGTTTTACTATTTCTCCTCCACTGTTTAGCATTTCTCTGAATGTCTATCATGGTTGATATTTCGCTAACTTTTGTTAGTAGGATATTTAGAATGTGAGTTTAAAAAAAGAAAAAAGTTTCTTCCCTAACAACAAAATAGTTACACTGCTTCTTGTGGAGAAAGGCGTATAAGAGTACACACGATGGCACTGCCGGTAGTTACAGATTTGGCTGATATCTATCGCATGGCTGATACTGGTGCAATCGTATCTCTGTTTAGTAGGTTAGGTAGGATCAAAGGACTTCTAGACTCTTGTTCTAGTAGTGACATCATAGGTGATAGATATGTGTGTTTCTATCTTATACAGTTCTGTCATATTTGTAGCAATTGAGAAAACATTGTCCCATAAACTGGAAGATACACGGAGTGCGTTGCAACTGAGAATTGTGAAAGCCCTGAAGGAGTATCGAAATATTTATGCTGTGCATCATCGCTCGACCAACAGAATGATATATCCTGAGTCTTTAAATTTCCTAATGTTGTATGGATTAGCTCTTTGTAGATCAATTGCTCTACGTGGAGGGTATGGCGATGTTCCACTGGATGAACGATGTGCAGCAGGACATACAATGATGGCTCATCCTATAAAAAGATTGTTGAAACTTCTCTATCCTAGCTTGATTCGACTTGATGAATATCTTCTGGAGGTGTGTATTTCACCCTTTCAAATTTAACAATGAAAAGGTTTAACTGTCAGATCCTTGAATAATTTATGTTTGTGTTCCAGGCATCCGTACAGGCTGATGACTTCAAAAGTATTGAGAAAAGGTTACCTTTGACTAGGGAGAGCTTAGACTCTAGAGGCCTTTATATATATGATGATGGCTTCAAGTTCAATATATGGTTTGGTACAGTGATTTCACCTGATATTGCAAAGAATTTACTTGGGTCGGACTTTGCTGGAGAATTATCAAAGGTCTTGTATATTCTTGCTGCCAAAATTTGAAATCCATCTGCTTCTTTTGCATGTATAATTTGCTTCTTTATAACAGGCTACTCTCAAAGAGCATAACAATGAAATGTCGAGGAGGCTGATTAGGGTACTCGAAAAATTAAGAAATAGTGATCAAGCATATTACCAGTTGTGCCACTTAGTGAGGCAAGGTGAACAGCCCAAAGAAGGATTCCTCCTTCTCTCAAACCTTGTTGAAGACCAAATGGGTGGCAATGTCGGGTACGCTGATTGGATGCTACAGATATCCCGACTTGTGCAACACTGATAATCATAGGTACGGACTGTCATCTATGTTAGGGGTTAGTAACAACAGGCATGCCGATTTGATGCTACAGACATCCCGACAACACGTGCAATACTCATAATATACTACAGGTATGGATTGTAATCTTTTTTAAGAAGTTTTAGGTAAATCTGATTCATTACACTGGTGATCAGTGGACACTACTGCATTTTACCTTGTGAATATTTTTTTGCATGTTGAAGTGTGGTTTCATGACTTGGCTAGTTGATCGTTGGGACCCCTAAGAAGGAAGCTTCTGTGAGAATTTCAGTTCAACCTTGAATATTAGATGAACTTTACCGTGGTGATTGAACAGCCGTCGATAGAGGAAAATGAAGTAAAGAAACAATTTAATTCCATGTATTTTTTTCCTTGCAATACAAGTTTGTCTCATTCTATTGTTGGTGTATGGCTGATTCAGTCATTTTTGTAGAAAAAGAAAATAGACAGAAAGAAAGAAAGAGATGACACGGTGAAATTAGTCTGCAAATTTGCAAAATAAAGAATTTTGTTTGGTTACTATTATTACTTTGATATTTTTTGTTTGACACTGTTGTCTTTCTTTGTGATTTAGACTATGTTTGAGAAGACTATTTTTAGAGTTTATAGTTTATAAATTCTTATGTTTTAAAAACACTTATTTTGACAATCACTATTTTCTCAAGAGTTTATAATTTATTTATAGTAGCTCATAGCTTTTTAGGTAAGTTAATTCAATTAGATCTCATATCGAGCTTTATGAGTATGTTTTAACCTATGTAAGGAGAGTTTGAGTTCACACACCCTTATTGGAAGAGAATCGACTTTGAGGAGTCATATAAATATTTTTCAGTTAGGTTGCCATGAACAAATGCATTTTTCACGTCCATTTGATGAAGAGAACATCCATTAAAAGTTGCTATTGAAGTTACAGGACAAACAATTGTCATTTTGGAAACTGGTGCAACCATAATCAATTCCATATTCATGCTTGTTTCCTAAGTCAACCAATCGAGCATTGTAATGGTTGAGAAAGCCATCATAATTCAGATTCATAGAATACACTCATTTGTAGCATAGGTTTGACATCAAGAGGAAGAGACAATATTCCATGTGAAATTCTCTTCAATAGGTTGAAGCGCCTCATTCATTGATTTTAATTTTTATCCAACACACATCTTTAACATCTTGTGAGTAATAAGTAGGATTCAACATACTAGAGAGTGAGGCAGCTAGAGAAGTATGTGAGAAATCATACTCGGTTGATGAATATCTATTTGGGGTTTGAGATATTCGACAAAAACATCGTGGCCCATTCGGTTTAGGATCAAGTGGCGGATCAATGTTGGGAAAGGGAGTGGGAGCTTGTTCTCTTTGTTGTCTGACATAGACACTACATGGTTTAAAACATTCAATAGACTAAGGTAAAATTAAAAATTTAGGAAGACTAGCAATATCATTCATGGGAGAAGGAAGACAATGAAACATAAAATGTTTATAAAAAAATATCACATTTTTAAAAATGTGAAGACTTATGTCTTTCAAATGTAGGTAGGTGAACAAAACACATGCGCGCACACACATTCAAAAGTATATAAATCACTATAATAAGGTTGAGTTTTAAAAAGGCGGAAGAAAGAAGAATCAAAATCAATATTCCTATAAAAAATGCGATTTATCAAGAAGACAACTATGGAAAGAATCTCCACTTAAAACTTAGATGGTATAAAAGCTTGCAAAAGTAAGGTGCACATTACATCAACCCATTGATTATTTTGATGCTCTACTATCTCATTGTGTTATGGGTGTATTGGGACAAGATCATTGAAACAAAATGTCTTTTTTTTTAATGTACTCCACTCATGAGACATATATCCACCACCATAATGAAAGCAAAAAAATTTAACAATTATTCCAAACTGAGTTTCAACATATATCAAGAATTTAGTAAACATAGAAAATATATCATATTTAGATTGCATAAGATATATCCAAGTAAAATGAGTGTGATAGTCAATAAATGGAACAAAAATTTCATGATGAGCGTGAGAAGCTACATGAGACATGCCTCCACCCATCAGGATGAATCATCTCAAAAAATTGAAAAGACAATAAACTCTTGACGAAAATGAAGTGTTTTACTTTTAGATCATTTACAAACCGAACATGAAACATAAGCACTAGAAATAGATACGACAACAAATTTTGGATGACCCAATTTTTATTTTTAGATCATTTACCATTTACCTAGAAATAGAAAATGAAGTGTTTTACTTTTAGATCATTTACCATTTTTATTTTCCAACAAATCAATTTTAAATAAATAGATACGACAACAAATTTTGGATGACCCAATTTTCTATGTCAATTCTCATAACAGTTCAAAACATTATTATAAGCAAGAGATAAATAATTAGAGATAAATTGGAGTGGAACAATCTTTCCACTTTATTCGTGATCACCTTCTTTGACACCTTCTTCTACACAAGACACCAACACGAGAAAAATTAACGTTATAATTATTATCCACTAATTGACCCATATATAATAAATTGGAGGCGAGTATGGGTGATACAAGCACATTTCAAAAGTCCGAGTTTATGTCACTAACATTTGTGATAGAAAGGGTATTACCATCGGCAATTTGAATTTTTTTATTACCGTGATAAGAATACAAATTGTACAAGTATTCAGAGGAATCTGTTATTTGATTACATGCACCAGAATTAAGAAACCATGAGAGAGAAACATTAGAAGACTTGCCCTGAATGGCCACGGCTAAAAGGGTATAAATTATATTTTGTTAAATCATCTAAGGTTGTATCACACTATTATCTGATGCACATGTTATGGAAGTACTACTACAAAATATACATTTCGTAACATCTTCTTACTTAGGTCATTTATTCCACCGAAGCAATAACTCATCTTTAGGCGCCTTTATTTTTTGTTAATTATTAAAACATTTTTCAACATTGTTCAAACTAACAATTATGGTGATAGGTTAAGGAGTGACACGCTTCAAATATCAACACTAACAATTTTTCATTTTTTTCATTACAAAAAATGTGTGTCCCTTTAATTTTTATATTTATATTATAGAGTTTTCATCACAATCGGTACTATCAACCGTGGTGAAAAGCATTACCTATATATAAGTGAAACATTGGTAGTAGATCTCAGATGTTCTGAGAGATGTCGAGACACTTGATCTCTGCTTCAAACGCAATGACAATGAGGAACAAAATGCAAATTGCAGAAAGTAAACAAACACACAGAACTGTTAACCCAGTTCGGTGAACAACAACACCTACGTCTGGAGGCTTCTAAGTCAGGAATAAAATCCACTAGATAGTATTAATTCTAAGCTAAACAGCCTCTGGTTTACAGTTTATCACTTAATCACTACCCGTACTTAATTTCTACCTAAGACTCTTCCTAGGTATGAGATCTTTCTCATTCCCTTTTAATCACAGCAGTGACTAAAATTACAACTCAATGCAAACTGTCCAGTTCTAGTATCAACATAATACAAGAGAGGCTCACAAAGTACAAACCCTAGTATACACAGAGTAACAGTGTAAATTCCACACTTTTCCTAGCTTAAATTCATCTTATTTATAACCATAAAGTAAACTGGAGTTGGACTTCAAAAACGCAGCAATTTTGTTCCACAAAATCTGCAACTAATTCTCCTCTAGAATAGTTTCTTCAATCCTAAGTTTCCTAAATTGTCGCCACACTTAGAAATAGCATCTTCAAATTATAATCATAATCTCTGATTCCTCAATCTTGGGCGCCACCTAGGAAAAATAGATAATTCCAGAATAATCTAACAACTGGAATTAAAATAACATAATTAAAAATTGAAAAGTAACAGAAAAAGATGTCGAATCATCATGATAGGACACCTTGTCCAACATCTTGATCTTCATTTAGTTCTTCATCATGTTAGGGCATCTTGTCCAACATCTTACTGACAAGTTAGTTTTACCAAAATCGATGCCAACCTCAAAAGCTCAGACTCATCAATCTCCCTCTTTGACAGATTTTGGCTAAAACTAACTAAATAACATTTGTAAGAAGAAACACAAGTCAGAGGCAAAAAGTCAGAACATTAGCAGCGGAAAAACTAAAGTCTCCCCCTCAAACAGTTCCTTCTTCTACATCAAGACTAGAACTCCCCCCCCCCCCCCCCCCTCAATGGCAGCAGTCGGTGGTTAACAGAGGAGTGGTTAGTAAAGTTAGTATTACTCCCCCTTTTTAGCCGTAATATGATAAAGGTAGATAAACTAACCAAATAACCAAACAATAACATAAGAGATAAAAGTACAAAACAAGCACATGAAGTGCCAAAAAAATATCCTGGGCATTAAGCTCTTATAAAACCACAAAAATAAGACTACATCCAGATATCATCCTCAGTAGCCTCATCATCTTCTTCCTCTTCCCCATACCAGGATATTGTAGACATGTAATGCTAAATGAGAGTTGTCTTTGAAGACCTCTCTCTATTTTGTGGGAACACATATACACTTACTTGAATAGCATTCCCACACCTATTTGATTTCTATAAATCTTTAGACAGGCAAACTCCAAGCTTGTCCCTCAGCACTTCAAATTGATTAGCATCCAATGCTTTAGTGAAGATGTCAGCTAACTGATTATCTGTGGTAACCTGCTCCAAGGCTATAACTTTGTCTTCCACAAGATTTCTAATAAAGTGATGTCTAATGTCAATATGGTTGGTCCTGCTGTGTTGAAAAGGATTCTTCGAAATATTGATGGCACTTAAGTTGTCACAGAAAAGTGTCATGACATCTTGGGTGACATTATGCTCAGTCAACATCTGCTTCATCCACATCATTAGAGAATAGTTGTTGCCTGCAGCTATATATTTAGTCTCAGCAGTAGATAAAGAAACACAATTATGTTTCTTACTAAACCATAAAATCAAATTGTTCCCCAGAAAGAAGCATCCACCAGAGGTGCTCTTCATATCA